AGTGATAAAAGGGCGCATACGAGGATGTAGAATTTTGTCACAATATAGGACAGCTGTGGCAGAACCACCTAGAATCCCGTAGAGTTCTGTATAGCTATTTATTGGTATTCCAACTCATACAGTAAGTCTTCTCCTCTGCAATGGTCTTTTTCGAAGCTGTTTGCCGCCCCACAGCGTGTCCCTGGTTATCTCCATATCACTGCCCTTTGTGAATCCTACTGGATGTTAAATCGAAACTCATCCGTAACAAGTATGTGGGCCAATTGCTCTGGTATTCAACTGCAATGTTCATGGGCCCAATTCATCCATTCGATGGGGACAAACAAACACCTACCACTGGTCCTCAGACATGCAGTCCATATTCAGCCAGTTGATGATGATCCCCCAGTGTACAGAATTTTTTTTTACAGGGCTTTTGATCCCTTTGGTAGTGATTCCACAGCCTATTCATGACACTACAATGCACATTCAGTTCTCTTGCAACATCTCTACAGCCCTCCAATGCATTCATCGTGCAAATGGTGTCTTTGGCTCATGCTTGCCACCTTGGCTATCTTGTAATACACAGAACTTTTGCTGCTTGCAAACTGACACATATATACGGCATGACTCTCTGTGGTGAGACTGATTGCACTTTATGCTAACTTTGATTGCCTATTTGCATTTAGCAATGTAAATTGTATGTTTTAAGTCCCCATTTTACATTTGTACCCTTTCTTTTAGTGTATTTCAAGAAATGCACAAAAATTAATTACTTGACAATTTGAAAATACTGAAATATTCTTGCAATACTATCTCAATTACTTTTCATCTGTGCTAAACAGTATTCACCAAAATCAGATAATTTGTAGATGATTTGAATATAAAATATGGCCATCAAACAGCAATTATGAGATATACTAAAACATGTACTTTTTTAATTACTAAAAATGTTTCTTAATTTAGTTTTTAAGTAACAAAACTTCAATTCCAGTCAGATTTTTTGTAGGACAATTCAAATATAGAAATAATGGAGCTAAAACTAGAATACCCCCCCAAGAGTATAAAAAATACTTTAATTTGAAACCTTTGATAAAATAGCATTAGAAAAAAAACCTGACCAATATCTAAGAAATGTTTATTCATAGGTAAACATTTCAATCTCAAATATAAAATAATAATTTATGTTAGGGATGCATAACCTGAGGTCTGTGAGTGGTCAACTTATGGTCCGCCGAGACCTTTTCTAAATTTTGTTGCGATTTGACATTTGGTTGTCTGTATAAAGATGGTTGCAAACAGAAAACAACAGAACAGTTTTCAATTTCTTTATTAATAAAAAAAAATCCCTTTCTATAATGCCTGCCCATGTGATCAGATCAGGAGCATTTTTGATATTTTCCATGGTTGTGTCCTGTGAAAATTAGAGAAAATAAAGGTAAGAAAAAGATGTCTAGTATCAGAAATAAAACATTCAAATATCATGTTTTCATCGCTCTTCCAGACGTTCTCCAAAAAGTAAGAAATTCATCACAAACTTTCTGTAAAATACATCCATTACGTGTTGATATCATGGAGACATTTTTCATTTTGTCACACATTTCTCGAATTTTCTAGAATAGTGGGTCTAAATCTTGCCTTCAAATCCTTTATTTTCATGCGGTAATTTCAAAATATAAAGAAAAATTATCCCAACCAATTCTGTAACAGCAAAAAAAGGAAATATTTTGAAAAAAAAAAAAAAAAAAAAAAGGAAGGAAAAGTGTAAAATAATTTTATAGAGAAATGATGCATATTCTGAGAATTTTAATCTTGAGACTACATCAGAAAAACGCTTACTATGAAAAAATTAAAAAGAAGAATTAAAATAATTACATAGCTAATTTTGCTTTACTAAGAGCGTTTCGTAAATTATGCTTTATAGCTAATACTTGTTTATTTTTCAGATAAAAATATTGTATAATAAGTTTGCCAAAATGAAACTTTATAATATGACAGCGAAAAAAAAATGTTTTATTTTTATATTTTTTTAAATATAATTTAATTATTACCATTATTTTAAGAATTTATCAATGTATGATGTTTTAAAAAAAATCGCTGAAAAATTCTCAGATCTCGGAATTAAACATTTTTTATAGAAAACTGATTTAAAATCACCAAACTGTTGACAAGTTGTCAAATTAGAACCATTTAATAAAAGAATTCACAACCCCAAAAGCGAAAAAGTGTTATGAGCTCTTTTTAGAAAAAAATGAATTTTGATGTTATGTTTACTTCTTGCTTAGAAACTCGGTATCCCATCATTTATATTAGAAATAGAAACAAATTATAACCCATAAACCCATTCAAAAGTTAACCATATATACGTCAGTGAATTGCCAAAAATATTCCTCCAAAATGCTAATTCACACTCAAAATGGCAGTCGTAAAAACAGAGAGAAATTTCAGATGATTAAAATTAAGGACATTCTACTGATTTTGGCCAAAATTAAGGACTTTTAAGGACCAAAAATCGATTTAAAAAAATTTAAGGCCTCTTAAGGACCGTACGAACCCTGGGCAATTAATTCAGCACTATATACAAAGAAAGCATCATGCTGTCATTTGCTCTCAGTATAGTCTCCAATCACAAAGGATGCTCCTACATGATCAACTTGGAACCATCTGTATATACAGGAGTGAAAGTGCTATACTTATGTCTATGCTCACAAAAAAGCTGTCTATATACAATCTCACTAGTATTTTCCTTATGAAAATGGTGGAAAATCGAATTTGCCGGCTGTCCCAGGGCACAAAAGAAACCTCTAAAGAAGAAACACCTCTAAAGAAAGAAACACCAGAGAAAAATGCTAGTGATAAAGTAATAGCAAAAATCGGATCTTTATGCTTGTCAAATGAAATTTTTACGCAACCATTGCAAAAGGTAAATATTTGCATTGCAAGTAACGAAATCCAAGCCATAATTGATTCAGGTGCCGAGATATCTGTTATAAATCCGAAACACATATCAAATTTCTCTATTGAGAACAACTGTAATATTGACCTAATTTCTGCATTCGGAGCATATCAGCTAAAGTGGCTAGAATTCCTATATCCATCAGAAATACTAATAATCCTAATTTATTGAAACCTGTCAAAATATTAGTAGCTTTAACAGAAAAACTTCATATTCCCTGCATAATTACTCCAAATGTTTATGATTTATTGACCTCTGAATGACATCTGCTTAGCACGAATCGTGATTGCGACACAGTGTCTCATCGCAGATACCGGAAATAAGGAGTCATCAGTCAAAACAATTCCGAAGGTGAAAGCCGCATTGATTTATTTATGACTTAGGAGGAGAGCAAAATTTAGTCATAAGTTGCATTCAGGGTGAAAATGAAAGTGAGATATATATTAAATGTGGAATCAACATTTGGATGCCAGTATTTTTAAACAGCAAAGGGAATATGAGACATTACGCAATATCTATAAAGACGTGCAAAAAAATAAAAATAAGATATTTTTAATGTATGATTTGATTTATCATAACGAAAGAACTTCCTGAGAAAAAGTTAGTCAATTGGTAGTGCCTAAAGTTAGAAGGGAACAAATTTTAAAATTAGCTCACAAGTCTATTTTTGCAAATAATTTAAGAATGAGAAAAACAAAAGAAATGATTCATTATTAATTTTATTGGCCAAACATGTCACGAGATGTAGAGAAATACTGTAAAACTTGTAAGGAATGTCAATTACAAAATTGAGAAAGGAAACTAACGATCGTATACCCATAGTTCCAGTTCAGAGGCCTGAATTTCCATTTGAACACAGTGAATGTAGATATAATCGGTCCAATTGAACCTCCATCAGCACGTAAACACAAATATGTACTATGTTTAGTCAACCAACATTCTAGGTGGCCAGAAGCTGTCCCTTTGAGAAACTAATTACAGCAAAATCAACATGCGACAGCATTATTAGAAATCTTTATGAGAAACGGGCATACCTCGGGTAATAGCTAGCGATCAAGGTACCAATTTTGTTGCAGAATTAACACAAGAATTTCCATGCCAGATTAGGAACAAGTCCTAGATTTGCAACACCAGGACATCCACAAAGTTCGGGATTAGTTGAACGGTATAACCAAGTTCTAAAACGTATGCTTCATCATATCATTAGAAACGACTCTAAAAATTGGGGACAAACATATACCATACCTGTTATTCGCTTACCAAGCGAAATTCCAAATTGTACTACGGGAGTATCCCCATTTAAATTAATGTATGGAAGAGAGGCCAGAGGTCCGTTGTCAGTATTAAAATCGTCATGGTCAGGAGAAATTCCATTACCAATAAAATTGGGTAAAAGTGCTATTGATTATCTACAGGAGCTAAAAATGAATTTAGAAATAGCAGCAGAGCAAGCATCTATAATTGCAGAATTGAAACAAGGTGCATATGCAAGATATGCTAATCGAAGGGCTATATATAAAGAATTCAATCCTGGAGATGAAGTGTACCTGCTGATTCCAGATTCCAGTAATAAATTATATGCCAGATGGATAGGACCTGCAGATATAGTATCTAGTTGTAATCCAGATGCTTACAAAATCAGACTGACAGATGGTATAATAAGAAGAGTACACGTAAATAAAATTAGAAAATTTAATTCAAAAGCACAGGCAGTAGGTGTAATATTTGAGAACGAAGAAGTAGGAGAAGTCCATACTATACCCAGTGTGAGTGACAAGTCTGATCATTATCATCTTAACGAAGTAGACTTAAGCCATTTAGATAATGATAAAAGGAATAACAAGATAAACTTGTTAAGAAAATATGAAAACTTATTTATAAATAAGGTACGAATTGCCAAAGTAGGAGAATATAAAATAAGATTAAATGACACTGAAAGAAAGAAGCCATGTTTATTGAATTACAGAAGCATTGCAGCCTCAAGTAGAAAAACAAATCAAAGAAATGTTATCAATGGGATTGATTGAAGATACCAATGCTGAAATTTTGTACCCTATTGTATGCGTTATGAAGAAGGATGGTAATCTTCGCCTTTGCGTTGACTTAGATCCCTTAAAGCAGTAACGAAACCAGATGACTTCCCTATGGAAAATCCTAAAGAGCTCTTATTCCACATTCGAAAAGCCAAATAAAGATTACTCAAAGGCTATTGGGCCATACCATTAGAAATAGAAAGTCAAGAATTAGCATGTTTCAAGACACATCGAGCTCAGTATCAATTTAAAGTCATGCCTTTCGGGCTACGCAACGCCGCTGCAACATTTCAGAGAGTGATGAACCAGGCCCTTGCTAAATACAAAGATTTTGCTCGAGCCTACGTCGATGACATAGCAGTTTATTCAAATAGTTGGAATGAACATTTAGTACATCTTGACAAAATTGTTAGAACTAAAGTTTTCCGTAAATCTCAAGAAATGTTCATTTGCTAAAACTTACATTAAGTAACTAGGACATATCATCGGTTCCGGCAGTCATCGTACTGATCCAGAGAAAGTGGAGGCTATCCAGAAATTAGCTAGACCTCAAACAAAAAAACAATTGAAAAGCATTCTAAGGCCTATGTAATTATTACAGAGATTACATTCCACATTACACCGAAACAGCTTATCCATTAACCAAGCTCACCAAAAGAAGAAGTCCTGAAGAGCTGTGCTGGGACAGAAAAACACGACGAAGCATTCCATTAATTAAAGAAATGCCTAATGGAAGCACCTAGTCTTTATACCCCTGTTACAGGGTTACCTTTTATAATTCAATGTGATGCATCTTCAACAGGTGTTGGAGCCTGCTTATCTCAACGGAAAAATGTGTACCCGATTAGTTACGCCAGCCAGAAACTAACCAAAACACAAACAAGCATGGCCAACTATCGAGAGGGAAGCTTATGCTGTTATTTGGAGCTTGAAAAAGTTTGAAACTTGGATTTTGGATCACCTGTGGAACTGATAACTGATCACAATCCGTTAACTTTCATCACAAAGAACGCACCACAATCTTCTAAGTTACAGAGATGGGCTTTAGCATTACAAAAGTATGATACTACAATTTCACATTGCCCAGGTGCTAAGTTAAGCAATGCTGATGCGTTGTCCAGACTAGAGACTATTGAGTGACTTGTTGTGAAAGAAAGAACTTTTCATAGACATTTATGAACTCTTAATATTATTTTTTTTATGTGTGTGTTTCTTTTTCAGCTACTCTCCTAGAGACTTTTAAGTATATCATAGAACTTTAAGTATTCTATTGCATTAGAATTGTTTGAATACTAATTTTTAATCATTTATATATTACAGTTTTAGAAGAAGTCTTGTAGTAGGTGTAGAACTAACCTGTATAAGTATTGTGTTATGTATCTTTCAACTTCAGTATTGATTGATTTGTAGACTTTAGTAGGTAAGTAACTCTTTTGTTTGACGTCACCATAATTTGTCATATTTCAATAGGCTTTCACCCTATTTCAATCTTGGATGGGGGGTGTGATGTATGGGTGACGCCAACCAACAAGATGTATAGAGGGCGCTAACTCTCAGTCTGGAGAGGCGCCAAAAGTTTAGTTTCCAAGAGGGAGACCGACAGAGAGGTCATAGGAAGGCTCGTGGGAGCCATTAATGAAACGAAATTAACTTGTATTACTTTATATTTCAGTTATTAGTTGTAGTTTAGTATAGTTTTGTGCTTGTGAAATAAATGTTTAAAAATACAAGAAGGTGAAGTTATTTCTCTATGAGGCGGTGGATGAAGAAAGGGATGATATCACACACATCTTGATCCGCTTAGCACCAGAGACATTTTGGTCAGGCAGCTCGGATACAATCTCTTCTTTAGAAACACAGAGAAAGTCGACAATAATTCAATGTCTTATGAGCTGTAACAGTGACATTAGCTTGCCAAAGTTTGGTTATTTGAAGTAGGGAAGCAAATAGGGTGGTTGAAGTTGTATCAATAAGTAAGTGTCCAGAGCGGAGACACTTTATATTTCTCGGTTCAACGATACAAGAATGTATTTATTTATTATAAAAGGAGAACATCTTTTGCAGCTTGCCAGAAGGACTAGAGACAACAAGGAAACGGGGATTTTTGTTAGGATTTTTTGCATTTGCATCTGTACGCACTGTTTCAGCAGATTTTTCAGAACTAACGTTTTGAGCAACGGGACTGACTTTGAAAAGCAGTGTGTTGGGGACAGTACCTCGCTCCTCAACTACCAAAACCTTCCTTTCCAGCCTTACAAGTCACAACACACGGCAAATGTGCAGGTGGTTTTCTCTCTGTGAGAAACTATACAAAGGGATGTGACAGAATCTCACATTGAGCCCAAACCTCCAAGAAGGAAAACCACAAGGGCAGAAGAAACGAAAATTTTAGAGAGAATGAGAGATGAAAAGGAAGGGAGGAAAGATCACTAAGGGCTCCAGTATTGTGGCCCCATTCTCACCAAGAAAGTGATCCCTTGAAGGGCTAGGGTACCTTGGGATTGCCACACCCATACTCAGGGGGTGAGCGAGCCCTTGAGGGGCATTGCACAAAGGAATGTATTTACAAAGGCATCTTTATAATTAGATAACTGTGCTGAAGTTAGTTTGGGAATCACAGCCTTTATTGCTAAAACTGGCCGCCCATTTATTGATGGTGATTTTGCAAAGGAGCGTATATTGTTAGTGTCTGAGAAAGTATGCCTTCAAGCTATGAAGAAATTTTAAAATGCGAGTCTTGGCAGAATGGCGATTCAAAGAAGAATTGGAAATTTATATGATGATGTTTCTGAACAATTACAGATTGCTGCCACCAAATTTAAGTATTTTTATCTAGCAGTTGATAAGTCAACAGACATATTTGTTGGAATGAGTACAGTAAAGGGACGAACAACTGGAGCTGATATTTTATCCTCCATTTTAAATTTGTGTTCTGAACAAAATTTCTTGTTAGTACCACTACTGATGAAGCTCCAGCCATGAATGGAATTTAAAATGGCATGGTGAGTCTACTAAGAAACCATCTGGATGATTGAGGAAATATTTGCTTGTGTATCACTGCATCATGCACCAACAACAGCCGTGTGCAAAAGAACTAGAATTTGACCACCCAATGTAGGTAGTGAGCAATATAATAAATTTTACTCACTCACATGGTTTAAACCACAGGCAATTTAAGGAAATCCTAGAACACACAAATGCACCACATCTCAATTATTACTCTGAAGTACTGTGGTTGAGCCATATAGAGGCTTTGAAAAGGTTTGCAGATCTGATTGATGAAATAACACAATTCCTTGAAGAAAAAGGCAATCAAGCTAGGATCTTTCAAGAGCAGCTTAACATTTTTAGTTGATGTGACAGCCCATCAGAATGATCTAAACAAAAAATTAATGGGAAAAAAAAAATTCATTTGTCAACTGGCCAATGCAATATCTGCTTTGAAACTAAAACTCCAGCTGTTCTCACAGCAGCTTGGTGTCAAAATTTTGTCAATTTCCCTTACCAGAAAAAACTCAAGGAAAATTTTCGTGATACACAAATCGATTATTTAAATCAAATAAAGATACTGCTTACTTCATTTGAAAAATGATTTACAGATTTTGAGTTGCATAAGATTAAATTTAAACTGTTTCGGGATTTATTTTCTGTTGTAGTCGAAGTAGCCCCAGAAGATGTTCAAATGGAACTTACTAATTTACAGATTTCTGATTTATGCAAATCTCAATTCCATGTTTCAGATATTCTTGACTTTTATAAAACTCTACCTGCTGAATTTTTGTACTTAAAAAATAATGCACGCAGATGTGATATCATGTTTGGTAGTACTTATATTTGTGAACAAACATTTCCTCTTATGAATCTAAATAAGTAAAAGTTTAAAAATAAACTGAAAGATCAATACTTGCAATCTGTGTTAACAATACTAAGAACTAGCTTTCAACCAATATATCCAAAATTGTTGATAAAACTCAATCTCAACCATCACACTAATGTATTTATTTAACAATGATTAACTTGTACACATTTTTATTTATATATTAAATTATTAAGCACAAACATAAACTGTATTTTTTTTTAAAAGCTGAATTGGGTGTGTTGGCCCCAGTAGCACATGCAAGGGGAAAGCGAAAATACTCGCTTACATACATATGTAATGACTCCAAATCAGTTTAAATTTGATATGGCATATGTCTGAATTGCAAATTAAACAACTTATTGCATTGACCCCCAATTCCCCCCCACATGCTACTCGCCTTCGGCAGCACGGCAACCAAGTCGCTTCTGTGAGTGGCCTTTCTCCTAAAAAGGTTGTGTACCTCTAATTTATGTGACATTATATTAAAACTAAAAATATGAATTTTTGAAAAATTTTTCAGAAAATATTTAGGCTTTAAATTAATATATATATTTTTAGTTACCTTGTGGATCTTGAATTGTTACACTATCTAAAGCAGCCTGAATAGCATCACTAAATGACTGGTGATACTCAGGAGGAGGAATCCATTCATCTCCATCTGAATCTCTGTTCTGAGAAGATTGAGGGGAAACAACTGTGTTTTGTTTTTTAACTTCTTTAGGAATCTCTGTAAATGTTTTTCGGCCATCTTTTAGCATCTATTCATCAAATTAAAAAAAAAAAAAAAAAAAAAAAAAAAAAAAAATATCAAATAAATAATATGAATAAACACACGAAAATGAAATGGATTTAAAAAAGTATCAGTTTATAATTAATATAAGTTTTTCTTAAAAATATCACAATAATAATATTTACTACTACAAACAACTTATTTTACTGTCATTTGCATAATTCATGCCATTTACTTTATTCAAAATATGATAAATAATATTATAATCGAATTCTCATAATCTTGTGCAAGAGATACTTCAATTATTTCATAATAAACTTAAAACCAACTATTTCCATAAGATGATTTTAAAAAAGTACTTGGAATTAAACCATCAGCTGGAATTTCAACTAGTGTGATAATAATTTAGATGGTGATATGAGTACTAAGAACTTTCCTTAATATAACACAAACTTTAAAATATTATTCAAATCTATGATTGTTTTATTTCCCGTTCTTTGCAAAATTTAAATACAGTCAAAAGTCGTTAATTCAGACACCCATAATCCGGAATGATCTATAATCCGGACCTCAAAGCTACAAACTTTCTGCGCATGCGTCGAGTTCACGCATGCCACAGGCGTTTACGAGAGCGCATAGACCCTACAGCTGCGAATATGTTTGCGCGCATTGCGTTTAATGTGTAACGGAGTTTATACGCTAAGCTAAAGTTATCTAATTCAGTTAATGTTGCAGATTGCGTTGTTCCTTAATCTTCGAATTGGATCCGGCTTATATTTTTTGCAGACTGTTAGAGCAATTTTATAAAAGTAAGCTTGAACTTTCGATTATGTCAAATAGAATTTTCCGATATATATTACTACAAAGCGAAAGTATGTTTTGAATCCGAAATCTGTTTATCAATTTCACGCTGCCTGAGGCGGGGGGGGGGGGGGGGCGAAGTCCCGACGAGTCCGGATTAACGACTTTTGACTGTAGTACTAATTCCTTGCAGCAACAGTAAATAAGCTGCAATGCTGTTGTACATGTGATCCATATGCCTTCAAATCAATTTCCTGTTCCTACTCTCTTACAATTTATCTGCACTTGCACAAGATATTTACATTATAGTTATATGTAATTTCAATACAGTCAAAAGTCTTTAATTCAGACACCCATAATCCGGACCTCAAAGCTACAAACTTTCTGCTCATGCGTCACTTAACAGCGTAAGACCTTTACGGCTGTGTGCGCATAATACGTTCATGCATGCACGTTTAATGTATAATGGATGGTATAAGCTAAAATTATCTAATTATCTATTTCAGTTAATGTTGCAGATTGCGCTGTTCCTTAATCTTCAAATTGGATCCGGCTTATTATTTTTTGCAGACTGTTAGAGCAATTTTCTAAAAGTGAGCTTGAACTTTCGATTATGTCAAATAGAATTTCCGATGCTGGAGGTCCCAAAGGATCTACAAAGCAAAAGTATGTTTCGATGTCCATCAAACAAAACGTGGAATTGCTGCAAAAAATGGATAAAGGCATATCTTTTGTTTCTCTAACCACTCCAAAATCTGTTTATCAATTTCACGCTGCTCTGCCCGGGATGGGGGGGATGCCACGGCGCGCAATGACTTGGAATTTGATCTGTCAGCACTATCCTTATCTTCAGGGCAGATGTTTTTATTTTATTTGGCTTATAATTCCTTATTAAATGTAGCTTATAATTTCTTATTTCATCTCGATGTACTCCGTCTTTGATATGATTTAAAACAAGTTCCTCGTCATTATAATTCGCTTCTGATAGTGAAGAAAGTGACACAGAGGTTATTGAAAACGAAAAAATTTCGATTGACAATCTCGACACTGCAATAGGACTTTAACAGCGGAACTTTGTAACTGAATAAGAAATTATGTCTGTTTACAGAATTAAAGAGAAAGTATTATCGCATAAAATGAAGCAAATATTAAGCTTTTTTTTTTTTTTTGTAAATTTTGATACCCTTTAGATCATAATTGTTCTTTATTTCATAAATTATGATTTCATATTTTTAATTTTATAATTTCTGCATGCCATCTTACCAGATTTAAACTGATGATCTATAATCCGAAAAATTGATAATCCGGAATCGCCTAAGTCCTGACGAGTTCGGATTAACGACTTTTGACTGTATATGGAAATCAGAAACATTCTGGATTATTCAGCAATTTTTCATGATTCAGAAAAAGCATTTCATTATTTGGCAAATATTCTTAGATCTATTGAGAAAAGAAATGCTGAATACATTAAAGCCAACAGAACATGGCTGTCCGTGTTGTTAAAAGAACACAGCAAGATTCATAGAATGGTTGCAACAGGAACGCAGATATTTACAAGCAATAAGTATTGCCATTGTTTCCAATGAAATTCCTCATTGTGGCTAATGTGGGAGTACAGAATGCTTATACCTGATATAATATAAACACAGCTGAAGTATATATACACATATATTATTTTACATTTTAAATTATAGATTGCAATATTAAATTGAACCTCTGAACTCTGATAAATTTATAAGCTAGTCATTGTTTTAATATTATCCTTCAATATTTGTTTTTGTTTGGGCAAAATCTGTGCATTGTTCTAAAACAGCAATATACACCATAAGGTATTAATTTTTCTGAACACATTATATAGATAAATTCTCTTTTAGTAGAATTCCGAAAAATCTATGCTTATTTTGTAAAATATATATAATTTCAGTCATTCTTGCTTTCTTTATTACACGATTAGTTAATGAAATGCATTTTGAGGCATATATACTTATTTTAAATTAATCAATAACTATGCAATCTTCAGTTAGATTTTCATTTACAATTTCAAAATTAATAAAAAAATTTTATATACCTGAGCAAAAGAAGTGACAGGAGATGTTTCAGTATCAGGCACTGAAGGATCATTGATATTGCAGCATAAATTAGAATCTTGTGCTCCTGCAAAATACAGAGGGAGGGATAAATTAAATAGCATATTTGGATCATGAAATGTATTAGATTGGAAGTTCTCAACCAAGGGAAAAATTCCATCAGATTTTTCTTTAGTAGTTAAGTATTTAATTTTATTTTATTACTTTTTAAAATACACCTTTTATTAAATCTTCGATATTTATCAATATTTTCCATATTTTTTATTGCTTAATTAACATGTTAAAAGTAATTTAAAATAAATGTATATATATATTTGAGTTTCAGAAAAGGGAGGAATGATCTTTCAGAAATGGTGAAAGGGATACAAGGGACAATACAAGTTGAGAATCACTGTAATAGATATTGTTTATGTTTAATCTTTTTTTATGGAGTTTTTCTTCTAAACAAAATGAAAAATAAAAATAACTTTATTTTTCTCTACTCCCTTTCTTATCCAAGAATTAACAGTAAAATAAAGCAACATCTACATTACATTCACTGATCTTATGTGATCCGTTTAGTCAAATATTTTCACTCCATATAAATTTACTTTTCAATTTGAATTTATATACTGCTCACGTTCTTTTCGAATGTGCAATCTGAGATATGTCTATTATGAAATTCAGACATGTCAAAGATGAGTTTATACTGTATATGCTTGTGTATTTTTAGTTCATGGAGAAAGCTGAAAGCTATAGAAAGTCCTTTCAGTTTGTCATTACTTATACAAAAATTATATTTTCCTGTTAAAGCCAGTCTCTCCAGCTAAAACTGGGATATTTGGTTGCTATGGTATCTGTTCATTTCAACAGAGGAATATCAAATGCTAAAATATTGGTATTTGTTCATTTCAACAGATACCAATTTTTTTCATTTAAGCAAAACATAAAAATTAACTCATATTGAGTTATATACATAAACATTAGAATTCGTATTAGAAAAGCCATATTAGTGGGGAAAATGATAATTTTATTTATCAAGATGAATATCAAAAGCCTGCATTTAAAATTCAGATTTTGGAGGCGGGAGTATTTCAGTCTTATAAAAGTTGATGTATTTCACAAGCGTCCTCTGATTATGAAGTCCTCCCAAACTTGAAAGTTGATAAACATGGCATCAATCATTCTGGCAGAAGTTTACACAAATATATAATTCTTTACTAAGTTAGATGATTAAGAGATACAAATTACAGATAAAGCATATAAAAAATTGTAATCACTTATCATAATTTTCCGTGTTATATCGACACTGTTTATCAGTTTTCAAAGTCATGTACTTTAGCCGCTGGTTTATTTGATTACGGGAAAGTGCACAAGGGCTTTCTGCCTAAGGGGAGGAATGCCTTCATGAAGAACTTTCTACTGGAAACTGACTCATATACACATTGCATAGGAAGAACCATGAAAATGAGCATGCAGCTAGTCCGTTCAGCGGAATTTGAACCCTATACTGAACTACCAATATTCAGCAACTTTAACACTTGTGGGCCTTTTTTATGTCTGGATCTTTGAAAATATTCCTCTTCATTCAATCTCAAATATTAACTATTTTTTCAAAATTCAAGGACAAAATAAAACTTGTATCCTTTTTTTACAAAAATTAAACCAATTTATAGAGAATTAACCGAATTTACATTAAACCAAAACAAACTACTCATGATTGTGTTGTGATGACATTACTGGTGATAAATCACATTGTTTAGAGACAATATATACATGTTAATAGTATTTGAGACTCCATGATGGCATTAAAAACCTCTTGTTTATTAAATTTTCTGAGGGCCATTTTTTTTTTCTCTCTAAAATTCTAAAATATTCTGTTACTTGAGATTTCCAGTTAGTTGAGCTTTTACTGTATTTTTGCTTTAGTTTTGAATTGCTTAAGGTTTAATTTTGATTTCACTATATCCTGCTGCAAAGTTGCAGCTACTGTATGCCGAAGATTACATATGAGTGGACTGTACGCTCGGGTACCTCGAGTTAGTGTTCCTCTAATCGTCCAATCAAGAGGGGCACGATTAGTGGTGCCGGGAACATGTCTGACTGGGGGAATGTCATGTTTACTGATGAGTCAAGATTTGCTCTGGAGCCAGATGACAAGCGTATAAGCACATGGCGTAAACAACGAACACGCAATCAGTCCCAAAACATCACACATTCCCAAAGCGGAAGCATTATGGTGTGGGCAGAGATTTCATTAGGATACCGTACCGACTTGCACTTCTTTAAACGGGGTTCTTTGACGGCTGTCCGGTATTGAGATGAAGTCCTAGAACCCATTGTGAGATTGTACGCTGCAGCAGTTGGCCCTACTTTTGTTTTAATGGATGATAATGCACATATCCACAGAGCTGACATCGTCGATGACTACCTTGAGAGTGAAGGGATTGTGCATATGGCATGGCCAACATATTCACTGGACCTTAATCCCATTGAAAATTTTGGGATGCTCTCGGCCGTGCTGTATCTTCACGTTTCCCACCTCCAAGCCACTGGAAACTGCTCTACAAGAAGAATGGTGATTTCTTAATTCTGCGGTGGTTGACCACCTAATAGAATGCAGGGTCACAAGGTGTAAACTTTGTATACAGATGAGGGGGTATCACTTACCCTATTAATGTCTTGTCTTCTTCTTTTTTTTTTTTTTTTCATTTTATGCTGTTTATTTTCACTTTATATATAATTCTGTTCAAATCTCCAGTATATCATTATTTGATAACTTACAAAAATTTAATATTGTTTTCATTTATGCATAAAGCCCACCAGCGGCCGAGCGGTAAAGTCGCTGAACACTGGTAGTTCGGTCCGAGGTTCGAATCCCGTGAACGGGCTGGCTGCATGGGCGTTTTCGTGGTTTTCCCCATGTGAATGTGTATATGAGCCAGTTTTCCTTAGAAAGTCCTCCACGAAGGCATCCCTCCCCTTAGGCAGATAGCCCTAGTGTGCTTTGCCATAATTAAATACACCATACACCATTTAAGCATAAATATATATGCTACTTTCCTACTGAATTTTGTGTCAATCATAGCAGCATTTGATGATTTTTTTTGCATTTTATATCTTCATGCTTAACTTTTGGAAGTGAGTGTATCTTGATCATATGCACACACATACACATATATATATGTAATATTATTTGACATGAAACAAGATATATTAAAACAATATTTGTAGTACAAATCTACCTTTTACCTACAAAATTAGTTGCATTATGGTAAATCTATAAACACACAATTTTAGAGTTTTGCCTGTATGGAAGCTTTTTTACCCTATTTTATCCTTAATTTATATTAATACTTAAAATTAAAAAATTTTCACATACGTTTTTATAAATATATTTATAACTTTCTTATTTAAATATTGTTATTGTTTAACATTGTTATTTAAATATAATATGTAAATTATACCATGTTTACTTAAAACATAATACATTCAGACATTCTTTGATTTTAATTCAGAACTACCTACCTACATCATTTTCTGTTCTTGGTGGGGAAAGATATTGAAATTCGCTCTGATATGTAGGGAACTGATCAATACTTTCCAAATTGTAGGTTGCTTTTGGATCTAAAGAATAATTATACATATCTTAGATCATAAACATGCTGCCAAAAAATATTTATTTAGATTATTATTATTATTTTTTTTAATTATGTTCGGAACGGCAAAATAAAAAAGAATGAAAGTATTTTTATCACATTCATTCAGCACAAAATCAGATTTCAAGCCATTTCAAAATACACAAGAAATAGCATTCCGGGACATAAATGCTTTATAAAATTTTGTATGATTAAAATTTTAAGAAAATATTGATATTTTTAATAAAACAATTTTTAATTTGGGTCATATATTCAATTTAGTGTTCTTAGTTTTCTGCATGTATAGAGCATGTACCTCTTTTTCCTTTCTTGTTTTAGAATTTTGGTAGGAAAACTGTATGCTATTCCAAGTTTGTGCAATTCTCCCTTTCTTTCTTTCCTTTGTTGCCACAAAAAATTAGAGGCTTTACATTATATTTAAAGAAATTAAATAACAAAGAATCTGCATGAATGTATGTATGTTTGTCACAGTGTGAAAAAATGGTGCTTAGAAACATCAATTTTAATAACGTAGCCCTCCATTCGAACATGGGCATCTGGAAGCCCATGTTTAAAATTTTTTTATTATCTATTTCATATTCTGTCAAACATTCAAGAACGTTTTATTAACATACTCAACGATTTCAAAGTGAGCAATGGAAACACTGTAGGGAGAGTTTTTTTTCTCCAGCTCACGAAACTGTGTATCGGAAATTCTAAAGATATGCTCTTTTAAATATTTTGCGATATTCTTGTTGAATTGAATTTTATGATTTAAGTGCGAAGAATGTGATATTTAATAAGATAAAGGTAATACACAAAATGTTAAAAATCACCCTTTTGGGCATAATACATAGACTCCAACTTTCAGCAGAACTTGTCAGTAGACAAAGCGCGAACGACATTTTTACAACTTTGAAAATGCACGCATAACACATGTTGTAATTAACCATTTACTAATTTCTAATTAATCATTAATTGTGTGGTATATCATAATCGGACTAAAAGCTGGCACTGTGCCAAGCATCGAAGCGTGCACAGTAATAAGAAAAGGACTTGAATGCAAAGTAGCTGTAGATATAAGTGTGTATGTGAGTGATGATATATTTTGTATATATAATAAAAGTAGCATGTAGTTTAAAAGAGTGTGTCTTGTGAAATAATTACCCACGAAAGATACACAACAGCTGGCGTCAAGGATGTATGATTTTAAAAAAATGTGCATAATGCAATCTCAATAATCCCCCGAAGACGGCTCAAAGTAAAACTTTTATAATAATTTTTCCTTTTGGAAGATCATGGAGCAGCTTGTAACTGCGTTTATAGTGCAGAATAGAGCTCTAATGGAGAGACTTACTTCAGTTATTACTCCACAAATGGACAATTTGAAAATTTCGGTTCAGTTTGAAAAATATAATGAACACGAAGAACAGTTTCATTCATTTCTAGAGAGATTCAAAAGTTATTTAGATATACAAAATGTTCCACAGGATAAGCATGGGAAAGTATTGATTTACAATTTGTCCGGAAAACTGTATAGTCTCTTAAAAAACTTACTGGCTCCTAATAATCCTTCTGATAAAGATTATGAAGTGTTAAAAACAAACATTGAGAAATCATTTAAATCCTAAGCCACATATAATTCCTAGCAGACATGTATTTTTAAATCGAAAGCAGCACAAGGGGGAAACAATCAAAGTGTATATGGCAGAGTTAAGGTCACTTGCCATACCATGTCCTTACGATCAGAATATGTTAAATATGATGCTGCGGGATGTATTTGTTAGTGGGCTATGAGATAGGGCTATTCTGGATAGAATTTTTGAGCAGGATAATATCAGTTTATATGATACTTTAAAAATAGCTTTGGCAATGGAAAAAGCTTTAAAAGGTGCAAATGAAATAATTCGGAAACCAACAGAAATTAAGGAATTTAGTGCCAGGAATAAAGGTAAATCTAAGTGTCGCTCCAAAACAAAAGTTTGAAAAACAAAACATCACAGCTAAGAGTGCTAAGGGCAAATTGTGTTTGCAATGTACGGGGACTTACCATGACAGAAATTCTTTTAAATTTAAGACAAGTATCTGCAGATTTTGTAAGAAAATCAGACACATTGAAAGAGCATGCTAGAATGCTAAAAACGCTGAAAAACGAAAGCAAAACAAAAACAATTAAATGTAGGAAATGAAAGCACAGTTCCTATAAACAACATACATTCCAGCGAGGTGAAAAATAGGAAACAGCCCATAATGGTCCAAGTAAACATAGAAGGAAAACCGGTAGCTATGGAACTGGATACAGGGGTGCAGTATCGGTAATGAATTAAAAAAAATTTCTGGCAAATTTCGAAAAAGAAAATTAAAAATACAAGTCTGGTATTTAAATCATATAATGGAGAAAAACTGATACCTTTAGGATTTACTACAGTTAAGGTAAAATATAAAGGTGAAAATAAAAATTAAATCTTTACTATTGTTAAAGAAAATCTGGATACAATATTTGGTAGAGAATGGCTTTCAGAAATAAATTTAGATTAGTCCTCAATAAAGTCAATTTTCGTCTCTCAAAAGAGTAGTATATAAATATAATAAATTATTGGAAGAATATAAAGAGATTTTTGACAAAATTAGGAGAGATAAAAAAATTATGAGGTTCAACTTGAATTGAAACCAAATGTTTCACCAAAATTTTGTGGAGCTAGGCAAATACTATTTGCGTTAAAGGGCCGGATAGATGAAGAAACTGATCACTAGGTAAAAGAGGGTATAATCGAAAAGGTTGAAATGTCGGAATGGGCAACACCGGTAGTACCAGTAATTAAGCCGGACAGCTTTATACGACTGTTTGCTGACCACTCTGACAGTAAACCCAAATATTGTTATGCATCAACATAAATGTTCATCATTGGGAGTACCTGAGCGCTCCAATGGAATGTATTCATATCGATTATGCAGGACCTATTTTTGATAATCGTCGATGCTCACTCAAAATAGCCTATCCAATGAAATCAAGCTCGACTTTCAAAACAATAGAATGTTTACGGGACTTTTTTTGCACGATTCGTATTACCAATATTGTTAGCGAGTGATAACGGGCCACATTTCACTTCACATGAGTTTAAGATATTTCTACAGAGTAACGGAATTAAACACAAAACTACAGCACCATTTAATCTAGTAATGGGCAGGCTGAACGGTATGTGTTAACAGTTAAACAATCTTTAAGAACAATGGAAAATTATCCAGAAACTTTAAAACAAAAACTCAGTACATTTTTGATGCAATATAGGAAAGCTCCAAATTTAACTATTCTACAAAGCTCTGCAATGCTAATGCTGAAGAGGGAAATTCGAACAAGAGTAGATTAATTGAGACCAGATCTCAAAAGGAGGGTGGAAGACAGAATTCGAAAGGAAGGAACCTACGAGTTTAGAGACCGAGGATTTAGAGTGGCAGTAAGAAATTATTGCCAAGGTGATAGAGGATGGAGATTTGGAACCGTCCAATCCAAGGATGGGCAGCTTCATTACACCATAAATGTAGATGATCAGCTATGGCGACGACATATCGATCAGATGCGTGATGGAGGAACCGTAACAGATGAGGGGTTCATACGTCTAGCACCATCCAAAGATAATAGCCACCAGGCAGATGAGTCTGTGTCGTCCTCCGAGCCCAAGGTTGTACCAGGATGTTCCAAGTACCGGACCTGTTGCTAATACAACCAGGTTACCAAAGAAACCCACAACCTTTGCACCAGTCCAGTAGAATTTGACATCCCTCAGATAGACTGCAGTTATGATAAAGGGGGAGGTATGTGGTATATCGAGAACTATCGATGTGGTATATCATAATCGGACTAAAAATTGGCCCTGTGCCAGGCATCGACGCACACAGTAATAAGAAAAGGACTGGAATGCGAGTAGCAGTAGTTATGAAAGTAGCTGTAGATATAAGAGTTTATACGAGTGATGATATATTTTGTATACATAAAAGTAGCATGTAGTTTAAAAGAGTGTCTTGTGAAATAATTACCCACTAAAGGATACATGACAAATTGTAATCAATTTTGTTACATTTAAAATCCATATACATATAAAACTGAATAATTAAAAATATGCCTTGTAAATTATATGCACATTTAATTAGAAATTTTCATTAACTCCTCAAACACGTATATCACTAAATATGCTATTATATGAAAAAAGCAAGTACTTTAAATCTCTACTAATCATAGAAAAAATCAGAATCCATAAATCATATATCTTCATTCTGGATTTGAATCATATATCTTCATTCTGGATTCTGGATTTCCGCAGGGAAACAAAATTTAAATAACAAAGAGTATTATATAAGTATTAAAAAATACTTATAATTTATGAATGCAAAGATTTATATGTAGCATGCTTAAGTTTTAATTTTGAGATTTTTTTTTAATAACACAGCTCTTCATTCATACTTATTTTTTCAATCAAAACTTCTTCGAGAGTTTTAGGACCTAAATTTGGTTGAAATTCCATCTGGATATTTTTAACAATAGAAAAAATTCTTTCGCAAGCTGCATTTGAATAAAGTAGTATTAGGACAACAAACATTACAGTAGGCAATACTTTGCATTTAATACAGCCATTCATATTTTTTAATTTGGCAATTTCTCCCCATGTTATATCAATATGAAAATCTGCAATTTCTTTCAAATCATCTACTTGATACATGGAAAATTCAATTTCCACTTAAGATATTTTTCATCAATAATGGAAGGAAAAGTATTCATCAAGTAAAGAACAGATGAAAATGAAACTTCAGTCCTCAAGTTGATGTCAGCAATTTCATCATGTTTTAGATGGAAAAGTATACATCAAGTAAAGAACAGATAAAAATGAAACGTCCTCAAGTTGATGTCAGCAATTTCAGCATATTTTAGAAATGCATCACTTAGTGGAAATTTATCTATTATATATGAACATGCAGTTACAAAAAAAGCTCACA